TTTGTTCTTTACTTTCCTTTATGCCCAAAGCAAGTGACCAGAGGTTAGTTACTTGCACTGCCCCACACCACCCATCTGTGAATTCATCTGGGAATGAGGAGGAGGAGGAGGAGGAAAGGCTTTGGGAAACACTACAAGTGGAGTTTTTGGAAGGAAAGGCTCACAGTGCAATGCCTGGTGTTTTCTAATAGTTCCAACGGAAGCTAGAGGGATGGGGGTAAGTCCTCACTCTGTCATGTGTATATGGGCCTCTTCTCTGGGCTTTAGATTACTCAGCTGCAAGAGAGGGATGATTGGTAATATCTTCCTCAGGCCTGTTGTGAGGAGGGAAATAGCTAAGCCAGATGAAATGCTGATAACAGTGACTGCTCTTATCATGTGGGGTTTCCGGGCTTCTAGATGGAGTTTCTCTTTGCCCACGTGGGAAATCATGGGGTGGGGGTGGGGGCAGGTGACGACAGTCCCTTCATGTAGGCCCCGGGCTTTCTCTTCTGAGGGCAGGTATGTACTCTTTCTGGGATGCCCCTGGATCCACCCAGATCCCAGCAAGGGCTGGAGGCTTGTGGAGGGCTGCCTTATGGAGGGTGAAGCCACTGTTGGGTGCGGAGGCATCCCTGCCAGCCAGGGAGGGACAAGGCCTTGGAGGGAGCACTGGTCCAGGGTCTGACACTCAGCCAGGCCCTGGCCATTTGAGTCAAGTCCACTGATCACCCCATCACGGTGGGAGAAAAGGTACTGCAGCCGTTTGAGGTCTCTTAAAGGAATATTATGTAGATTAAACAAGAAATGGGCATCAATGCACTTTGTAATGAAAGCAAAATTCAGGACAGTAATGGTGAAGGAAAAAACCTGTATCATCTCTGCTAGGATGGAAAGGGGGATGCCTGGGACTTAGGGGGTTTGGGGTTGGGGAATTGCTCCTTGACCAGAACGCTGCCCTTCTAGTTGGTGACTTGAGGCAGGGGCAAGCCTCAAACTTGAGGAGGTTCTCAGGGCTCCAGTCCTGCCCTGGGTCCTCCAGCTCTGGGATGGGCAGGTGATGGATGTAGGGATGTGGGCTGCCCAGGCCTCAGTCCCCAGCTCAGACTGGGGGAGCTGCAGGCTTGGGCCCCCAGGAGCCAGGCCAACAGATGAAGCAGGAAGAGCAGCTGCAGGCCTGGCTGACTCCAAGGGCCTGAGGAGGAGGAGGCAGCGGGTCCAGGAAGCACCCAGTTTCCTGTCCCAGAAGCTTGGCCCTTCCATTCAGGAAGTGCAGAGAGAAGGGGGCACTTGTCCTGCCTGCCTGAGGGAGAAACTGCGCTCCGATCCCTACCAAAGGCCCGCCAGCCTTCAACTTTCTCTGCAGGTGGGCAAGGGGATGGGGAGCGGTCCAGGTGTGCTCTCCTGCCTGGGGGAGCCAGGCCTCTGGAGGGGCCCACCCCAAAGTGCCTCTGTGCTCTGGGTTCCCAGATGGGCTGCGGCAGCTGCCAGAACCAATTCCAGAAGTCCTCCCCTCCCCTCGCCCACCTCCACACATGATCCCCGCTCCAGAGACACAGTGGTTGGGGGGAACTTTGAGGGGCTCCCCAGGGCTGAAAGATGACCAGGGCCCAAGGATCCACAGCTGGGCGATGCTTGTTGCTTAAAGAGAAGCTCTCTTTGTTCTGGCGTTTTACCAAAGTGAAGAGCAAAACCAAAATTTTTCTCATCAAACTTTTGCTGGCACAGAAGCAGCCAGGCCGGCTCCTGGAGCCCCGTGCCCTTGTGCCAGGTCTCCTCGCCCGTTCCGTTCGGCTGGGACTGGCAATGGCCTCTGGGAGGCCCCGCATTTGGCTGGAGAAGGTTCTGGGGCACCGACCCGTCGCGCCGCGGGTCTGCAGGCCCCGGAGCATCACTCCCCACCCCCTGCCTGCTCTCCGGAGCCCGGTTTTCCTGGGAAGCGAAGCGACTCCAGCGGATGGGATCGGCGCTTGTGATGGCCCAGGCCCGGCTTTCGATTCCATTTAACTCACCATCAGCGCCTTATCTCCGCGTCGCCTCCCGGGGTCCCCACCCCTCCCCCGCCCGGCCCAGCCCCGGAAGAAGCAGAGCCGCGGGCTTTTGAAGTCCCGAGAATTTCAATCCTAGAGGAGCCGCCAGGACCTACGCTGTCACCCAGTGGGGAGGGGACAGCAGGCCAGCGTCGCGGGCAGGGGTCCTCCCAGCCCAGGGAGGTGAGAAGCGTTGGGGGCTGGGCCAGCCCCGGCTCCGGCTGCTGTATCACCCCCTCTCCAATTCCATGGGGCTGCCCAGATCTGGCGGCTGTCTGCCACGCTCCCTCTGTGCATTTACCCTCCTTCGTGATCCGTGTTGGGAAAAGCCTTCAATTCAGTGATAACCACGCTATTAAAATACCCCTAAGCCAAAAAAAAAAAAAAAGTCCTCAGAAAGTGTTTTCATCTAGTCTCCCCACCCCCCGCCCCCAATTTTCTTTTCCTCGAGCTACAAACCCCATCTCTCTTCATCTGTTGTTGATGACAGGATGCTGTGGGAAGTGACTTTTGGTTAAATTTTCCCTCCTGTGCGGGCTTGCAATAGGCCCTAAGGACCCGGGAAACTGAAGCTGGAGTGGGGAGGGGTGGGATGGAAGTGGGGCTGGTCCTTGAAGCTTCACATCCCAGCCGGGAGGAGGCAGCCCCCTCCCCAGAGAGGCTGTGTCTGGCCTGGAGCCTCCTTCCTCCCAGCAGCCGGGGAAGCCCCCTCAGTGGGGCCGACCGAGAAGATGCCAATGACACCTCTTGATCTCTCAATCCCGCCGCTTTCATCAGCAAGAAGGCCCCAGCAGAGGATCAAACGCGCAGCGCTCCCCTGAATGCAAAGCGGACGAGCCTGATCCTTCTGAGGAGGCCCCACCTGGGTGAGCTTGAGAAGGGGGAGGGCCCTGGGGGAAGGAGAGGGTGGGAGACCCAGGCCCAGCCTAGGGAGGGCCCCACCCAGGGTGGGCAACGCACCCTCCCACACAGATGCTGGGGCCTGACTGTGACACAGGAAGGGGCGAGGGCAAGCAGATGGTCCCCAGGCGCTGGCGGCTGGCTGGGAAGGGAAGGGCGGACAGATCCTCAAAAAACCACCGCAGCAAAAGGCTCTGGGAGCTGATCCCCTCCACTCCCAGCCACTCCGCTCACCTTGTAAACATCCCCAGGATCTGGGGGCTGGAGGGCTCAGCAGATGGCAGCCTTGGGAGTCCCAGGGCGTGGAGAGGTCTATGCGGACACTACCACCCAAATCCCTTCCCCCGGTTAGCCGGCATCTATGAATAAGGGGAGAAGTGGGAAGTAGGAGCCGGAGGGGAACGTTCCTCTCCTTGAGCCCCTGCTTCTTCCACCTCCCCCACTAGCCCACAGGTAGGAAGACTGAGGCAGGGAGAGCGGGGGAAGAGCAGAGAAAAAGAAAAAGGAGGAGGAGGAGGAGGAGAAAGCAGGAGATGGAGATAGAAAGACAAGATCTCGACCGAGGGACCTTTCTTTAGAATCCCAGGATTGGGGCTTTGAATCGGGCGTGGAGAGGGGCAGCCTCAGTGGTTTAGTGCTAGGAGGGCTGAGGAGTGAGGGAAGGAGAGCTGTGGGGCCGCAGTTCCGGGGAGGTCTGCCTCCCGCCCTCACCTGCCTGGCCTGGCAGCTTGCTCCGAGCTGGCGCTGTTTCCTAAAGGTTCTGGCTCCCCTTCCCCGGAAGACCTGGCGGGGAACCTGTGGGGACTACTCCTAAAGGCACCATTCGATTCCATTTAACTCACCAAGTGAAACACGCCCCGCCCCAGCTCTGCGTGGGGGTCCCCTCCTGTCCTCAAAGACTCACAAGAGCACCCAGTCACTAGTCACTTGCTCTTTCTGGGCATTTTTGGTGACGTCTCTTTCAGGACCAAAGGCAGGGGAGGGGGGAACCCTGTGAGTGGAACCTCTGCAAACCCCAATACTGCCGCCCACGCTCGCTGTGCCCCTGCCCCAAGGCTCTGGTGAGAGCCGTGCCTTCGGGCAGCAGGGCCTCTGGCACGGCCACTGGAGGGGCTGCATTAGTCGGCGCCTCTTCCCTTGAAAAACCTGTTTTGGGGGGAATTCGTTGACTCTGAATGAATACCTTAAACTATGGGCGAGAAGAGGCCACTCTCAGAACCGCTCCCCACCCTACATACCTGAGGTGCAGTCGAGGCCCCAGCAAGTGGGAGAGCGATTTCTTCTACGAGCGAGCGCGCCTGGAGGTCAAGCGGGGCAGTAGAAACCTCAGGCCACCTAGAAGGGGAGGGGAAATAAAAAAAAAGCAAACACTATGAGTCAGCAGCCAAGGCGGGTCTTTAAAGAAAAAATGTAAGACATTTATCTCCAGCCCCGTGGCTAAGAAAAATAGCAAAGGTTGTTCCCAGGAGGAGGGAGATAGCTGGGTAGGGATGGGAGGAGGAAGAGAGGAGAGGACACCCCAGGTTCAAGCTCTCCAGACAGCTCGGGGAGGGGCGGACTGTGTTGTTCGGTAGCTTGTACAGAGACTCTGGAGCCGTTTGAGGTTAGCTCGCCAGGGACGGGCGGTTGTAATAATGCCCAGAGCAGCGAGCCTTGTGACTCGGCCTTCAGACCCCTAAAATAGGGTTATGGGTTCTCTTATCTGTGTCAGATCAAGGCACCAAGCTAAGAAAACCAAAGCCGAAGCAACAATAAAACCCCCCAAACGCGTATTCAATTACCGAGCCCGCAGCCCCTGCGGTACTCGCGGCGCGCACGCAGCTCGGCTTTCTTCCTGCGGAATCGCATTTGCATCCTCTGCCTGGTGTCTCCCGCGCTCAGTGTGCGCGTCTCTCTGCTTTCACACTCTCCTCCCCATTCGAGCGAGGCCCACACCTGGCGCATCACTGCCGAGCCATTAGCTGCGGGTCTCCTTTCATCTCCGCCGTGGCAGACGTTTCTATTTATCCACTTGCGCTCGCCGAGTGGCGTCACCAGCGGTACTGTAATGACGATTGCAGCAGGAGGATGACAGCTTAGAAGAAGAGGGCAATGGGGCTTCCTCCCAGAGGCGGTGCGGCGCAGAGGAGCGGGCGCATCACAAGGTGACCCCAGCTCCCCACCGCCG